TATCTATCTATCTATCTATCTATCTATCTATCTATCTATCTATCTATACTGTATAGATAGATTGACAGACAGATAGATATAGAGATGTTTGTTGTTGTTGTATGTTGTTTGTAGTAGTTTACATTGCATTATAATGTAGCTTGTTTTTGTTTCATTTTTATATCATTTCTTTTAATTGCTTCTCATTCTATATGCGTTTACATGATTCTCTGTTGTTGTGTGTACTTCATCTTTGTTTTTTTGTTTCAAACAGGGTTCTCATGTAAACGAGTTCTTGTGACTCAGTGAGACTAACCTGCATAAATATAGGTTGAAGGCCAGTTGGATGTACATCCATCCATCCATCCATCCATCCCATATCTTTTACCCGCTTCTTCCATTTTGGGTCACGGGGGTCGCCGGTGCCCATGTCCAGCAATCACTGTGCGAGGGGCAGGGTACACCCTGGACATGTCTCCAGTCCATCACATGGACACATAGAGACAAACAACTATTCACTCTCTCACTCACACCTAGGGACAATTTAGAGTTATTAATCAGTCTAACATGCATGTTTTTGGTCTGTGGGAGGAAACCGGAGTACCCGGAGAAAACCCACGCATGCATGGAGAAACATGCAAACTCCACCCAGAAAGGCCCTTGGACCAGGATTTGAACCATGGACCTGCTTGCTTAGAGGCAGCAGCTCTACCAGTTGTGCCACCGTGCTGCCCGTTGGATGTACAGTACTGCCAAATTCTCTAAACATGGTCATTCCTGCAGTACAGATGCCAATTACACACTCCCACAAAACTTGCAACATTAGTGACATTGTGCTTTGTGATAAAACTACACATTTATTGAGTGGCCTTTTATTGTGGTCAGCCTAAGGTGCACCTGCGCAATAATCCTGCTGTCTAATCAGCATCTTGATATGCCACTCCTGTGCGGTGGATGGATTACCTCATCAAAGGACAAGTGCTCACTAACACAGATTTACAGAATTTTATGAAAAATATTTGAGAGAAAAAGCTTATTGTGTACATAGAAAAAGTCTTAGATCTTTGAGTTCAGCTCATGAAATATGGGAATAAAAATAAAAGTGTTGCGTTTATATTTTTTGTTCGGTTGTCTTCAGAATTGCACTTATGCATTCAGAATTATCTGAATAAATGTTTTACTTGATTCTTTGTGTAGGTAATTATAAAAATCTATACATTTTAATTGTTTTTTTTTTTCCAGCCAGTAGCCTGGAGTGTAAAGTGTGTTCACCAGGCATCTTAGGATTTTGCAACGAGACTGACACAAACTGTTCCTCAAAGTATAATCAGTGTGCTGCAACAAGAACCATGATGTTTGCAGGTATGTATGTTAATGTGGGATTCCAGTTGTTATCTCTTCTGAATGGTCTTACTTTTAAATGACTAATTTCTTTTTAAATTACAGGTGATTTCAAACTTGTTAGTGTCCAATCTAAAAAATGTGCTTCAGCTCAAGAGTGTGTTGATGGCTCTATCAACTTGGGAGTGCTCAAAATTGTGACCAGCAGCCAGTGCTGCAATACAAGTTACTGCAACGCTAAAGACATCCCTGGTAATTTCCATTTTGTTGGTATTGTTTTAAACTGTGCAGAGTTATAAGGTTGCTGTACCTACATTGGGAGCAAATTGTTTGTTAAATGCATTAATACTAAGTTAAAAATAAAGCACAAAAAAAAAAAAATCATTTTAGGTGGCTTAAACATTCAACAAATTCTCCTAGCTAGATATTTCATGGTTGATAAAGTGGGGTAGTCTGAGTCAGACTGCCTTGTTCATTCTAAATTATAATTCGGTTGTAGACTCTAAGTCAGCATTCACCTCTAATGTACACAATTTAAAACAAAACACAAACAATAATCTATATTTATTTACATCAAGACAGCAAATGTAAACCTGTACAAAACCAACATGTCTCAAAAGTAATTTTAAGATGACTATTGTTGATGATTAGCAGCCAAATACCAGAGAAAACTAAAGAAGATTTGAAATTAGCTGATTTTTGAGACACTTTTTAAACTTGTGTGGGTATTTCTGAGCAGTCATTATCTCACCTGCAGCAGACAGCTGTCAGAGGGATCTTACCATACCACACCATACCACTTTATTTATAAAGCACTTAAAACAGCTACAAGGCCAACCAAAGTGCAGTACAGACAAAACAACAGGTAACACACAAAGCAAAATACAAAATGAGGTAAATCAGAATATAGACATAAAAACGATGCAGATAATGATGACAAACCAGTGTGGAGCAAACAGGATCAAAACACAGATCATCTTGTGTTGAAAGCTACTGAATAATAGTGAGTTTTTAAACGGGACTTGAAAACCGAGAGGGAGGGGGCCTGTCTGACAAGCAGAGGCAACTCGTTCCAAAGTCTTGGTCCTGCTACAGAGAAGGCCCTGTCACCTCTGCGCTTAAGACGAGTTCCTGGAACCTGAGGAGCAACTGGTCCGCTGACCTCAGGGAACGTGGTGGGACATACAGTTGTAGCAGATCAGAGAGATGGGGGGGGGGGTTTGGGGGACTGTTCAGTGATTTGTAGACATACAGTTTATTCTGAACTGGATTCAAAAGTGAACTGGTAACCAGTGCAGTGCGGCCAAAACTGGAGTAATGTGCTCTCTTTTGCCTGTACTGGTTAAAAATCGGGCTGCTGCTTTCTGGACCAGTTGTAGTCGTGCAATGGAGGTCTGACTGATACCAAACAGGAGTGAATTGCAGTAATCAAGCCTAGATGTGATGAATGCATGTATTACTGTCTCCAGGTTATTTTTGGACAATATGGGCTTGAGTTTAGACAGCCGCCTCAGTTGGAAGAAGCATGATTTAACGATCATGTTTATGTGATTGTTAAGTTTCAGGGAAGGGTCCATTATCACGCCCAGATTAGTGACTTTTTGTTTTTCTGACAGGGTTAGAGCGGTGAGGTCGATGCAGTGGTTTGTGATCGTGTCGTTGGGAGAGAACAACATGACTTCAGACTTCTTTTCATTGAAACTTAAGAAGTTTAAAGCCATCCAGTCCCTGATGTCAGCCAGGCAGTCGAGCAGCGGTTGAATAGAGCATGTACCATTGTGTCTTAGGGGGAAGTCAATTTGACAGTCATTGGCGTAGAAGTGGATGCCGATCTTGAGGAGGAATTCTCACTGAGGGGTTAACAAGTTGCTTAGCCTGATAAATACAGTGTGAAAGCAGATTGACTGATATGTAGTAAATTTTACATTTCAATACATCTGCATCAGGTTAAAAAAAAATTGAACACTTGTTCAATTTTGTTTTTGTATGATGCAAAAGTGACACAATGCAAAACATTCACTTAAACAGCTCTAAATTTTTAAAAAATATTTTAAGTTGTTTTGAATGTTAAAAAAATGTAGTCTTATTTCTCAGTTATTCACAAACAAAACACTCCAGTTTGGTTAAAACCACATTTATTATGGAGTTATTACAAAAATTTTGGTACGTATCAGAAGCAGAATGAAAAACTTGATGATCTGACAGATGAAGTGACAAAGGAAATCTGTAAATTTGGATAAATAAATGAATGCTGTCAAGGACTTATGATTTTAAAATAAAATTAAGTGAATAAAAATAAACTGCCATATCAATAATAATAATAATAATAATAATAAATAACTACAACAAGTCCAGTTTTGCTAATTTGGTTGAACAAATATAATTTGGAAAATCAAGTATCAAACATGATACTGCTGCTGCCTCTCAGCGAGTAGGTCCCCGGTTCAAATCCCGGTCCGGGGGCCTTTCTGGGTGGAGTTTGCATGTTCTCTCCGTGCATGCGTGGGTTTTCTCCGGGTACTCCGGTTTCCTCCCACAGACCAAAAACATGCACGTTAGGCTGATTGGTAACTCTAAATTGTCCCTAGCTGTGAGTGAGAGAGTGAATGGTTGTTTGTCTCTATGTGTCTCTGTGATGGACTGGACACCTGTCTAGGGTGTACCCTGCCCCTCGCACAGTGACTGCTGGACATGGGCACTGGTGAACTCCATGACCCAAAATGGAAGAAGTGGGTAAAACATAATGGATGGATGGATGGAAGTATCAAACATTACGATAAGCAGACATTAATTTAGGATTTTCTTTATTTATAATAAAAACACATAATCCTTTCTCTAAAAACGTGTTTCTGTTAGCCACAATGATAAGTTTTTAATAAGTGTTTGATTATAAACTGAACAAACATATAGTAAAATATTCAAAAAAAGAGTTCAGAATAGCCCTCTCTTTCTATTTCCTTTGTTCTCTCTAAGTGTTTTTCTTTTCTACGTCAGAGCCCACCAGCTTCACTGAAAATGGCAGAAGGTGCTTGAGCTGTGAAGGACTAGAGTGCGGTCGAACTCTAAACTGTGCGAAGAATGAAGACTACTGCATCAAATCAACAAGTACGAAGCTTTCTTTGGCATTTCAGAACAATAATATCACGTTCGAACATCGGACATGTTGCTCACATGGAGAATTTGTTTTCCTGTCCTCAGTGAAAAAAGACGGACAAAAACTGACCATGAAAGGCTGCGCGTCCAAGCTGATGTGCCAAGATAAATACATTGCAGACGCCCAAGTATCAACTGGAGCAGAAATCAGCTGTTGTCAGGGTGACTACTGCAACAGCGCCAGAAGCATAAGTGCTGAGCTGCTGCTGCTGTTCGTGCCACTGGTCACTTTGATTTTATTTTAAAAGCAGATCGAGTTGAAAGTTTTTCACATTTTTGTTTTCCTTTAAATCCTTTATTAGATTAAAATTTTACTAAGCTAAGTATGTCATATTCTTCTTGTGTCATTTCATGGTGTTTCTAAAAAGCTTAATTATTGTTCATATTGCTTATAATATTTTTAACAATCATTATTTATTGTAATTACTGTATATCTTAATATTTTTGATAAAAGTGACATAATCTAATACGTTTTCATATAAACTTAGTAGTAAGACCACTTAGTTTTAGTTGCTTAATCCTTTATTGCAACTATACTTCTTGACAATTGATTTTATATATATATTAAGCCTGTTTATTTATTTATTATTGTGGGAAACTTGGTAAGAAAACTGAAAGTTAAATTGGGTTCTTTTTTCAGAAATAGATCCTGTTTAACTCTGAATGCTAGGAAACACCTTGTAACTGCGACTTTCGTTCCCTCCATTGATTACAGTGACATTATTTACATGAACGCTCCTACAAGCACCCTGCAGATGTTGAATGCTGTCTATCACGGTGCACTAAGATTCATAACTAGCTGTAACTACCATACCCACCACTGCACCCTGTATTCACTGGTTAAGGTCATCATTAACTTCACACAGACTCACACTGGTACATTTTCATCTTTAAATCTAGGGATGCACAATATTATTGGCATGGTATCCGTATCGGCCGATATTAGCGTTAAAGTTAAATATTGGACATAGACCATCCCATCAAAACAACTCACTCATATAAAAAGCACTGTTTTTGTATGAAAACCAAGTGACAAGGATGCCTACAGCACCAGCACAACGTGATGACATCACGTGCACCTACCTGGTCTGATCATGGCGGAGAGGAAGAAGTCAAAATGTCGGCAGTGTGGAAGATTTTTTTCGTTGAGGCTACTGGGTTCCGAAGATTTTTGGACTATGTTGAGCAAATATCTCAGACTGGAGACGATGTAGCGAGCATCATTCCCACTCTGAGATATTTTTCCGACATAGCCTTACCCAAGTTACAAGCCGTCATTTCTGACGTCATTGAGAAGCTAATAGCCAATAGCACTTGGGTGAGTTTTACCACAGACATTTGGACGTCAAGTGTTAGCCCCGTTTACGGCACAATGGCTAGACAAAAACTTTAAACTTGAAAAGGCTGTCCTTCATGCACAAGAGTGCAGAGGATCCCACACTGCAGCTAGGAACCTGGAACAAGCCTCCACAAGTGAGACAGCATCGCAGGTGACTAATGCTAATAAATAACATTTAACACATTTCATTTAATATAAGTTAAAGTGCTATGCATATCATTTGGCTGTTACTGAATATATGTCACCAGCTCTTACAGCTGTTGTACAATTTTTGTCGCAAATAAGCCTAAAAAAGAGGGCTATGTTCTGACAAAGGAAAGTATATAAAAATATCGATATCGGTTATCGGCCAAATACTGTAAGTTTTAACATATCGGCATATTGGATATCGGCCAAAAATCCAATATCGTGCATCCCTATTTAAATCACTTCTTGGTCTGTAGCCTTCTTACATCTCCTACGTCACTGTGTGAGTGCAGCTACAGCGTGCACTCTCAGGACATTATTACCTGCAGTGTTCCCTCAGTGAGGACTGAACTAGGCAAAATGGCCTTCTCCTACTCCGCTCCTGTTTCCTGGAATATCTTGCAACAAGACCTGAAGCTTTCGACCTTGATCTCTGTAAGTGGCTTCAAACATCTGCTAATGGGAAAAAACAAATTTAGACATGTTCCTGTTTTTAGTTTTCTACATCAACTTACAAACTAGCTGTTTTTTTTGTTAATTTTTTAAATACCACTTTATTTTCACTTGTTATTTTCAATTTGTATGCATCCTTTAGGATTGTCTATTCTTGTCTTTGTTGTCCATTGTTGTCATCACTCTTTGTTAAAATCAGGTCTCTCTTGTAAATGAGTCCCTGAGGCTCAATGAGATTAACCTGTCTAAATAAAGGTTGAAAATTTATTTGTAAATAGTGCCACATTTATACGGAAAATTCATTTGTAGATTGTGCAGCAGAATTGAATTATGTGAATTATCCATCCATCCATCCATTTTCTTTACCCGCTTGTTCCATTTTGGGTCACGGGGGTCGCCGGTGCCCATGTCCAGCAATCACTGTGCGAGGGGCGGGGTACACCCTGGACGGGTCGCAAAGTCCATCACAGGGCCACATAGAGACAAACGAGACAAACAACCATTCACTCTCTCACTCACACCTAGGGCCAATTTAGAGTTACCAATCAGCCTAACATGCATGTTTTTGGTCTGTGGGAGGAAACCGGAGCACCCGGAGAAAACCCACGCATGCACGGAGAGAACATGCAAACTCCACCCAGAAAGGCCCCTGGACCGGGGTTTGAACCAAGGACCTGCTCGCTGAGGGGCAGTAGCTGTACCAGTTGCGCCACCGTGCTGCGATTCTACAAAATAAAGCATTGAATTCATAAATGAACAATTCCCTCAAACAATATTTATTTTAAATATTATGAGGTATAAGCAGAGCTGTAATCAAAGAATGTTTTCAGAGCTCATTTCACGCAATGGTCGTATTATAAACTGTAGAAAAAATGCATAAAAAAACAACAGCAGTGCCTTCATGAAGCTGCTGCTTCATGCACATGCAGTATGCAGTGACGTGAGGTGAGGTTTGTGACAGTTGAGGCTGACTCTTCTGGAATCAGGTACTCGCAAATATGAACCCAAAATATAAGCTTACATTTCAATTTAGCCTTTTTTGTTTGTTTGTTTGTTTAAAAGGCATCTATTTATGCTTTAATCAACTACATACTCCTCTCTTTAAAAACAACAACATGTATTATCTTAACTTTATTTTAAGATGAATTAATTTAGAAAAATCCTTTAGTTTTGAGAGATGATATTCCACCTGGAGGAACAGGTCCCTGGTTCAAATCCCGGTCCAGAGGCCTTTCTGGGTGGAGTTTGCATGTTCTCTCCGTGCATGCGTGGGTTTTCTCCAGGTACTCTGGTTCCTCCCACAGACCAAAAACATGCATGTTAGGCTGATTGGTAACTCTAAATTGTCCCTAAGTGTGAGTGAGAGAGTGAATAGTTGTTTGTCTCGTTTGTCTCTATGTGTCCCTGTGATGGACTGGAGACCTGTCCAGGGTGTACCCCGACCCTCGCACAGTGATTGCTGGACATGGGCACCAGCGACCCCGTGACCCAAAATGGAATAAACGGGTAAAGATAATGGATGGATGGATGGATCTTATTTCTTTAAATGAAGATTATTGATTGATGGTATTGTTCAGGGAAATAAAACAATTGAAGTTTTCATTTGGATCAATTGTCGTTTCTCTTTTTCTATAAAATCCATTTCCAAGTAAAAACTAAAGAGAAAAGTTTTAATCAAAGCCTTGCTTGTTAGAATTTTTGGGAAAATGTAGCGAGTGCATTTACAAACCCAGCAATGACAGCAGGGACCATCTCAAATAAATTTTACAAGAAGAGTTGCACACATTCCTTCAGTTTTTTTTACTTTTGCAACTTTTATGAAAAGCAAAATAATGCAACAGTTTAAAAAAATTATCTTCTTCAGGGGTCACCACAACAAATAGACTTGCACGAAGAATGAACACAAACCTGACAATTGTTTTAACACCGGATGCCCCTCCTGACACAAACACAGACCACACAGCTACAAGTCCTCTGTGTGGAGCAAAGATCTGCCATCTGACCCCCACCATCACTCCCCTGGGTGCAGAATTTATTTAAAAAAAATGATATAATACTATTATATCATATTACAGTATTAATGTTTAATATGTATCTCAGATCCTTGTATACTGTTTCTATTTTATAGTTTATATTATTGCTACTTTTTGGGTGTAACTGGGACCTTGAGTACACAATTTTGTTCCACCTCAAGTACCACATGTGATGCAAATGACTGTCACCTTGAATCTTAGACACCTCACAGGTCAAGGATGATTCCATTTGATTTCAAGGTCGATTAATCAAAGGTCAAAGTCACAGGTGAACTCTTTTTAAAAACCTTGTTAATGTTCCAGCTAGTGTTGTAGTCAAGACCACCTAACCCGAGACCAAGTCAAGACCAAGACTTTTAGGGTCTGAGACCAAGACCGAGGGAGGGTGAGACCAAGTCGAGACCAAGAGCTCAAATAAAATAAATAAAATATAAAATTTTATTATAAAACATTATTATAATAGTTACATACTACAACTCTGTTTGCTTTTGAATGAATATATCAGATTTTATAAATTTTCAAAGCTACATAACAAAGAAATCAGACATTCAGTGGCCTAACTTCATGTGATTCAACAATACAATTACACACCTGTTAAATTGGAAGCCGTTCCATCACAAAAAGCCAAGCCTTATAAAACTGCAGTGGCAATACAATCTTCATAAGTTCAAACTCAGAACCAAGGATAACCAAATAGTTGCACAGTGGTTTCAATAAAGTAGTAGATATACATGTAAAAAGTTACATAAATGGATATTAGTTACAAGTATATTCTTTGTGACTTAAATAGCCGAATTTTATAACTGATGATATGGCAGACATCTTCTTAATCACTCTCTTTCCCAGTGTTGCCAGATAGAGTCAAAGTTTTCCAGTCCAAAAATCTGTTAAAAACCGCCACATCACACAAAAATCCGCCCAATCAATATATTCCTCCCAGGCTCTGATCGAGGTGGCAGCTTCTGCTTCTCCTCTCCCGTTTTCCTTCCTCCTGCTCTGCTCTCTGTGTGTCTGAAGCGCCTGGGTCTCACCTCCCAAACATAAATTAAGAAGATTATGGATTTGGTATCGTGGGCGTTCAACTCTATTGATAAGATTTTTTTCATCAAAACGACAAGGTCCTGGGGAACTGGCGTGTCCAGCTGAGACTCACGCTGTGGTGTACGTCATGGATTCATGGGGAGTGTGGCAGTTGATGTGCATTACAGTCCTGTCTCAGGAGGATTTTGAAGAT